GGCTGTTCTAGACTGAGAAGTGTATAAACAATAGACATTTCTTTGTCAGAGTTCGGGGGGCTGGGGAATCCAAGAATAGGGTCCCAGTAGATCTCATGTCTGCCAAGGACCTCTCCCTCATGGGTAGCACCTTCTCTGTCTCCTCAGATGGTGAAAAGGCAAAAGAGGCACACTTCTTCTTAGGTCACCAACCTCATTCATCAGAGCTCTGCCCACAGTACCTATCACTTCCTAACACTCTCTCGTTGACAGTTCAGTCTCAGGATGTGACTTGAGGAAGGGCACATTCAAATCATGCAGACCTCTCAGGGAGAAAGGCTGAGACTCATCCTTCCGCTTTAGACCTCTTTTAGGTTCTGAAGGTCCTGATCCAGTCTGCCAACAAGACAGGAAACATGCCCAGAGAGGATGCCACCCAAAGGAAAGGGCCATCTGGGCAGGTAGCAACTGGAACCAGGGCCAGGTTGGGATGGTGGAGATGAGGCTAGCCCTGCACTGCTTCCTCTCTAAACTGAAGCAGGTAAGCAGAGCAGGAGACTCCTGTGCAGTGGAGAGACTCGGTGTGCAGTAGAGAGACTCCTGTGCAGTGGAGAGACTCGGTGTGCAGTGGAGAGACTCCTGTGCAGTGGAGAGACTCATTGTGCAGTGGAAAGACTCACTGTGCAGTGGAAAGACTCCTGTGCAGTGGAGAGACTGAGCATGCAGTGGAGAGACTCCTGTGCAGTGGAGAGACTCCTGTGCAGTGGAGAGACTCATTGTGCAGTGAAGAGACTCGGTGTGCAGTGAAGAGACTCCTGTGCAGTGGAGAGACTCATTGTGCAGTGAAGAGACTCGGTGTGCAGTGGAGAGACTCAGTGTGCAGTGGAGAGACTCAGTGTGCAGTGGAGAGACTGAGCATGCAATGGAGAGACTGAGCATGCAGTGGAGAGACTTCCTGTGAAATGCAGAGACTCGTGTGCAGTGGAGAGACTTGGTGTGCAGTGGAGAGACTCCTGTGCAGTGGAGAGACTCCTGTGCAGTGGAGAGACTCCTGTGCAGTGGAGAGACTGAGCATGCAGTGGAGAGACTCCTGTGCAGTGGAGAGACTCATGTGCAGTGAACAGACTCGGGTGCAGCAGGCTCCCGCCTTGTCTAATGGCTAATCAGTTGGAACTGCTGCATTGCCACCACCTGTCCATCTGAAAGAGACCCAAGAAAGTGTTGAGACGTCTCTGCTTGTATGTGCAGCACCCAATACATGTTGAGACTAAGGCCAGTGCTGACTGAGGGTTGGGAGACGGGGTTAATATTCAGATCTGAATGGATACTGGAAGAATGGCCACTCCTCTGTGGGGAGTCATCCAGCCCATGACTGATGCTCAGGACCCTTTGAACAAGGACCATTCTCAGAGGACAGCATGATGGTGGCTATCTCCCTTTATACCTGGTGGATCAATATAGTTCATTCTGCCCTCTTGTGATTATAATTGGAGCTTTAAAAAATGGGAAAATCAGTCTTTTCTTTCCCCTTTATTCCCTGGATTAATGCTGAGCAGCAGGTACCATGGCTTGGTTTAGTTTTTTGGAAGTGGAGGAAACTGCCTTTATCTGATTGTATGCAGAATTACCAAGTGTTATAAACTGCATTCTTATGTCCATTATCCCTCAAATTCGTGTGCTGAAATCTCACACCCACTTCATGTAATGGCACTAGGAGATAGGGCCTTGAGAGGCAGCTAACTTGTCGCAGCAAGATCTCATGGATGGAATTAGCACCCCTGTAAAAGGGACCAGAGAGCACTCCAGTGCTCCTCCACCATATGAGGACAGATCAAGAAGGACAGGAAGCAGGTTTTCCACCCATACACAATCTTCTAGTGGCTTGATTTTGGACTTCTAGCCTGCTAACCTTTAAGCAATAAAAGCTTGTAGTTTAAGCCATCTACTCTCTGGCATTCTGTTACAGCAACCCTGTGGTGGTTTAAATGAGAATGGCCCCATAGATTCGTATGTTTAAATTCTTGGCCCCTAGTCATGGAACTGTTTGGGAATGCTTAGGAGGTGTGGTCTTGTTGGAGGAAGTTTGTAACTGGGGGTGGGCTTTGAAGTTTCAAACGACTTGTATGATTCCCAGTCTCTGTCTCTATCTTCTTCTTCCTCCTCCTCTTCCTCCTCCTCCTTTCTTCTTCTTTTTCTTCTCCTCCTCCTCCTCCTTCTTCTTCCTCTCTCTCTCTCTCTCTCTCTCTCTCTCTCTCTCTCTCTCTCTCTCTCTCTCTCTCTCTCTCTCTCTGCTTTCTACTTGCTCATCAAGATGTAGGCCCTCAGATGTTCCTGCCAATATAGCTTTGCCTCGCCACCGTGGATTCTAACCCTCTGGAACAGTAAGCCCAGATTAAACACTTTCTTTTCTAAGTTGCTTTGGTGATGGTATATTCTCACAGCAATAGAGATGCAACCAAGTCCTAACTAACAAAGACACAGAAACCCTTAAGCCTGGCAAACATAAATCCTTCTGCTTACGGACTTCTTATGAATCTTATGGACTTCTACTAGGAGGGAGCTGATTGGCCCATATCTTGACTCCATGGTCTGATATTTTTTACTTTGACAGCAGCAATCTATGTATAAACACAGACCCGGCATGACTGGCACAGTCAGGGCTCTGCCCATTTATTGCTTCCTTCCTTCCCCTCTTGAGAATTGTCAAGAGTTGTGTAAAGAAAGTGAACTACTTAAGCTCCACTCAGACTTGTAGGTAACATAGGCCAGAGCTGAGCAGCCGAGGGAGGAAAGAGACAACCTGGAAGTGAGACAGTGTTGAGTTTGACTGCTCCACAAATTAGCCATGTGCCCTGCAAGAAGTTACTAGATGTCTCTGAGCCTTGTGTTCCTCGAAGGTACAGTGGGAATGACAGCCACTGCACCTCACAGGATTGATCTTGGGATTAAAGGTGTGCAAAGGGCTTCGGGGAAAACTGCTCCCTGGGAGGCTACACTACACATGAGCATCTGGACGGCAGTGGGAAGCACCCAGGAACGGGAGGTGTTTACGTCCCAGACCTCAGGCATGCCCTCTGTCATCCATATTTCAGTCAAACCTCAGCAGGCATGCTCAGACAGAAGTTTCTCAGTCCAGGAGACTCTATAAACAGTTTACATCCTTGAGTTGCTTTCCAGGAGGGGCCCAGCAGAGGCTGTGAGCAAGGAGCCATTATCCCGTTCCCCAAGCTCAGGATGGATTCAGAGAGGAGAGGGGCCAGCAACTGCAGGCAGAGCTTCAGGGCTTGGTGCCCCCCATCACCGCTCTCACCTCTTGGAGAACTGGAAGAAAAGGCTGTCGTAACTCTCCTCATGGAAAGAGTTCCAAAGGAGGAACTTTCCAGAAGCACTTCTGAGGTCTACCCAGCCCATTTAAGGACAGCTACAGGAAATGAAAACGTCTTCCTCTCTCCTGCTCCCCATTCTCCCTCTTCCCTCCTCCCACGCCATTCTCTCCTTTCCTGTCCCCATCTAACGCTGATAGCTGCCCCTCCCCCTCCAATTATCTTGGTTTCAGCCATCCCACAAAGAACGTTGTCTTCCCTCACCCCCCTCAAAAGATTTGATAGTAGTTTTTGAAGCAGAAAATTCAAGGCTGAGGTAATCAATCTGGGAATAACAGGCCTGTGCAATGAGGAGGTCCAGCTCCAAGCATTTCTGACTTGATCATTCAACATGCATAGAGTGATTGTCTACAGTGTCACAGGCAATGGCCTAGATGCTAGGGACACGTAAACATCTGTGTGTGTGTGTGTGTGTGTGTGTGTGTGTGTGTGTGTGTGATCATATATATTATCAAAATAATGTCTTCATTAAATAATTTCTCAGAGCCTCTTTTGTACAAATAACAAATTCCACATATTTATTGTTTTAACATCTACATAGCACTCCATTGTAAAAACACACCACAATGTATACCACCTTTATTATGATTGTTTAAAAACCAGCCTCATGCCGGGCGGTGGAGTGGCGCACGCCTTTAATCCCAGCACTCAGGAGGCAGAACCAGGCGGATCTCTGTGAGTTCGAGGCCAGCCTGGTCTCCAAAGCGAGTTCCAGGAAAGGCGCAAAGCTACACAGAGAAACCCTGTCTCGAAAAAAACCAAAAAAAAAAAAAAAAAAAAAAAAAAAAAAAACCAGCCTCATTCCCTTTGCATATCACCATGTGCAACGACTTGGGTAGACCTGGTATAACCTGGCTGGGGGCGTTCTAGGACTTGTCCCCTCCACGAGAATGGGGGAGACAGGCAGCTTCCAGGGCTGGTTCAGTCTGAGACACCTTCTACAGGTGGTCAAGTCCAGCAGCTGGGGTGCAGTGAAGAGCCCTGTGGCCCTGTGACATGACTGAGTTCACAGCTGGACTGGCTCCCACCACCCTCCAGTGCACGGGAAATCACCTGGATTTATATTGTCCAAACACATTGCCGCCGCAGCAGCAGCATCCTGCGTCTCGGATCCCCCTGTGTACAATAAATTCCGTAGGCTACTGAATAAATAGAGGAAGAAAGACACTTAAGATTGTGAAATGAGAAGCCGGGGGGGGGGGGGGGGGGGGGGGGGGGGGGTGTGCGCGTATGCGCGCGCACGTGTGTGTGTGTGTGTGTGTGTGTGTGTGTGTGTGGTGTGTGTGTTCATACACTCCTGCACAGAGCTGTAGGCAGTGAATCCTTGCTCCTTAGTTATGGGCAGCACACGTGTTTTAGGTAGTTAAAGGACACAGTAAAAAACTCTTGCTTCATACTCCTTCCCATTATCAGGCCCCGGTCTCCTCGTTTGAAGCTGCTAATGAATACACAGTCTGAACACTCAAGTTCAATCTCCCTGAGACACCTTCTCAGGCACCGCAGTCACCCCGAGGCCGGGGCATTCCTCACAGTTTCTTATCTGGGTGGTAAAATCAGGACGCCGCCTAATTGGTTGCTGACTCTCTCTGGTAAATGAAGGAGGTTTCTGTTTTAAGAAAGAGTGAGACTTCTCAGCGGTTGATTCACTGCCCACGGGGAGCCTGCGGAGCCGAAGCTTCCTCTCCGTGGAGATTTGCATACAACATCCACTTCCTGCTTCGCAGCCTGCTCCACCGCTTACCTGGACCTGGAGAGGGCGAGGGAGGTCTGAGCGGCCCAAGGTGGAGCCCGGAGCAGAGCCAGCGACCACCCCCCGGGCCTGCCTGTCTGCAGCGGCGATCGGAGGTGAGTGATCTCACTGGTACCTGCCTCGACCTCCTTAACCACTGACGGGCTTTCCAGTCCACTGCCTTCTCCTCTGCCAGAATGTTCTGGCCTTGCTTTCCTCCGCCCTGTCTCTCCACCTTTACCTTGTTCATCTGGAGACCAGCTTTGAGCTGAGACTAGAGCGAGCTCCAGGAGGAAACGTGGCTCTGGTTTAGTGTTTCAGGCAGGCCGAGCTGAGGTTAACTCTTTACTGAGATGAGAGGAGCACACGACTACCAGCTACTCTTGGTGTCTCCTCGAGTTTCCAAATCAAGAAATCAAGCTGACCATGGTGAGTTCAGGACTAGCCTGGGCTACTAGCAAGAGCCCGTCTTTTAAACAAATCAAACTTTCTCCGAGGAGGGAGCCATGGTAGCAAGGATTAAGTAATTGGCTTCCAGCCCCGGACGCGTCAGTGACAGAGCGGGAAGGCCAACACCCAGTTTTTCTCTATCCTGGTTTTATACTGGGGGGAAAAAACATCATCACGTTCTTGGCTCAGGAAGTGCTCGACACCGCCCCCCACCCCCTGCATTCTCCTTAGCCAGGCATTTGCTGGGTCTGGACAGGGCTGGGGACGCCAGGGGAGAAACGCTTGATCTTAGAAGCCGCCTTCTTATGACTTCCTAGTTCATGGTGGCCTATTAGACTACGAAGTGAGTGAAAAGAGACCAAATTAATAATTTCAAAAGAGGTCAGAAAACTTGGTTCCAAGTTCTCCCTCCACTTTGTGTGGGTCCATCTCTTAGGCAATTCTCTTTGGCTCCCAGAAGCCTGGATTTCTTCATCTGCGGGGTGTGTGTGTGTGTGTGTGTGTGTGTGTGTGTGTGTGTGTGTGTGTACTAACATGATTATGTATAAATTCCTTTCTAACCAAACAAGGCCAGGGCAGTCCCGGAAGGGTACCGTAATGGGTGGTCTTAGAAGACATGTTTTGTTTACTGATTATTACACATATAAATTTTACCTCTGCTACTAGTCCATTAGGAAGGCCTTTGCTTCTTCCGTTTTTTCCGGCCCCCAGAACCTGGCATGCCATCAAACACATAGAGGTACTCAGGCTCCTTGCACATAAACTTTTAAAAAGTTTTTCGTTCCCCTCATCTGCTTTCCAGGCCGAAGGTAGAGCAGCTGTCAGGGCACACAGCTTGTGGTGGGCTGGGGGTGGGGGGTGTCAACTGCAGCTCTGCAGGAGGGCTGCCCTCAATCCAGCCATCATTTTTGGCTTTAACCACATAGGGGGAAATGGGATTTCTCGAATTTAGCTCATGTCCCATGTGTTTGCTGAGAGTCAAGGCCGGCTCCAGGGTTGGCAGCGGATCCTGCTTCAGAGGCCAGGAGCTGGAGCAGGAAGGCACTCCTGGCTCCAGCAGTCAGTGTGTGGGCCTTTAATGGGAGGGGAAAGGGACCAGTGAGACACATCCTAACACCATGTAAGGCTGGTGACTGCGATTAGAGTCGTTATTAGATGGCGGATCCACCGGGTCCTTAACCTTTTCCAAACCACTGCTTTTAAAAAATTATTACTGTTTCTTTTGAGAAAGTACTGTCAGTAGGAGTCCCAACAGGTTCTGGCTGAGAGGACGGCAGATTTGGGGCTTTGGGTATTGCTGAACTCTCTGTAGGGTATAAGGCTCCAGTATAGGCCCTGTGGTGTTTTTAGATGGTTCTCAGTATTCTGGAATAAGGGTACCAGACTTCCAACATATTTTGCTTGTGGCGAGTTCCTGATTCTTATTTTAAATCTGAAGCGTTACCTTCTAAACCAGGGCAGCAGCTCTGTGTGGCTGCCCGCCTTGCTTTGATCGGTCAAGGCTCCACCACAGCCCTCCTTACTCTGGTGCTGTTCTTCCCAGTCACTCCACAAGTGTGAGGAGACGGGTGATGCAGCCATTGTGATGTGTTCCCTGCGCAGGGCTGGCTGAGCAGGAGTCTGGGCAGGATGCTGGAGGGAAAGCTTCCTCGCTCAGGGATTCTCAGAGGTACCAAGATAAAGTGTTCAAGCCCGCACCTCCAAGGCTGAAGGCATTAGTGACTTTCAAATACACTGGAAATTAAAAGAAGAGGAGAAAGTCATATTTCCAGGCATCGTTTAGCAGTCATTCAGCAAGATAGATGACGGCGGAGTGGTTTGTCTAAATTAAATCAATGTTTTACACGTTGCAGAACGGAAATCTCAGATAGATCCTGAATTCAAATCGTTTTCTGCTGCAGGCAGTTTTAGGTTCACCTTTAAAAACACACGCGCGCATACACACACACACACACACACACACACACACACATATATACATATATACATACATATATATATGTATGTATATGTGTATATATAGATATATAGATATATGAACTGCAGGCAACTGCTATAGGAAAAGGGCACGGACGGAGGCGGCCCAGTTCCAGTTCCTTTCCCAACCAACTAAATGACCCCTGATGTTTGATCCTATTTCCTTATCAAAACAGTCCAGCTGGCTCTCCACAAGAAGCAGCCGATGGTTGGAATCTAGAAGCTGTCCCCCAGGCCTCTCCTGTTTCTCCTCAATGCTTTGTCACCCAGATATTTTTAGTTCGTGAAGCACAGGGTTCCTTCTCCCTCTCGAACAGTCCTCGTCTCCTACCCGGCATGCCTCCTAGAGCCCATGTGCGCTCCGGCCTCAGAGCTCTGCTCACTCCGCTGGTGTACGTGTGTGCACACAGGTGTGCACACGTAGACCTTCTTGGAGACCACAGGCCATAAACCAGCAGAGGACGGGTGGACTGTCATGCATGTGGCATCCTCAGCATGCAGCCACTTTGGCTTGATTCCCTGATGACACTGCTGAAATCAAGCTATTTGGATGGGTGGGAGGCCCTCACACAGCCTTTCCTCCTCTCGTGCCCAGCAGACCTAGTCTACACGGGGTCTTGGCAAGTCCCTGAGTGGTGAAGGAAACTTGGCTCCTGTACCCAGTCTTCCACACTCTTCCTTTCCTCTCCAGGGGGAAACAGGTCCCACTCCCATCTCAGAACTTTTCCTGAGTTGTCTGCCTAGACATCCTGGACACTGGCCCACCCTGCACATTCCTGCCTTTGTCCTGTGACGATCCCATTGACCCTTCCTGCACCTGTAACACGTGTAGATTACAAGGGCCTTCTCCCACAGCAATAGCCCTTCTCATCCTTCCCGCCCCTTCCTCTTCATTCTGTGACCTGAACTGAATTAGGAATCACACATGGGAGCTTCAGAAAGACCACCTTATGTGAAGCAAGCAAAAAAAAGAAAAACAAAAAAACCAGACAAAGCAAACAATGGCAACAAAAGCTCCTGAGCTGGCCTGAGGTTGTTTCTCTAAATGTTTTTATTAGCAGCTCTCAATGTGGTAGGCCGTCTGTTCCCAGAAGTCTCCCTCCACCCCACGCAGCTCAGCACTCAGAGTCCCAAGGCCACTTCCGCAAGTCAGAGCAGAACATAATGACTGCCCTCAGCCTGATGTGAGTCTTCCTGTACAAAGTCCAGCAAATGCCCCCTTGTCTCCACAGCTTACACCGCCTCAGAGCCTCTGGCAAACCCTAATGGAACAGCTTCTCTCTCAGGGAAATTCTGCAAGTAAGCTTGGAAGTGTTTGCTCACTGGAGTTTGAATCTGAGCTGACCGGTTGACCCCAAACCAAGCTTCCACTGACCAAACCAACCTTCCGGTAATTTGCATACATTTTGGCAGTAGACAAAGAAATTCATGAGTTTACAGATATTTCTAAAGATCTGTGATTTTTAGAGGCACTAAAAAAAAAAAAATTACTCTTTTGGGGCCGGCAGGATGGCTCAGCTCGTAAAGGTGCTTGCCACCAAGCCGACAGCCTGGGTTTGATCCCTGGGATTGATTGACAAGGTGGAAAAGGGAGAAGAGATTCCTGCCCAATTGTCTTCTGACCCGTGCATGGGTGCCATGGCAACATACCACACACACACACACACACACACACACACACACACACACACACACAAAATAAACATAAAAAGAAAATTTAAATTATTCCCTAGAGAGTAAAAACTACCTCGAGAATCTGTAATTGCAAGTGTCTGGTCCAAATTGGATTTCAGAATCCTCCCAACTACAAATGTATATATTTGTTTATTATGGCCACCTGAAATATTCATGCTATATATCTCTAGGACTTTTCAACCCTATCAGTAACCCAAACAGCATTTTAAAAAAATAACAAAAGAAATTCAGGACTGGAGTCAGATCCCCAGAACCCACGGAAAAGCCTAGAATCCCAGTGTTCTGGCGACAGAGACAGAGAATGCCCAGAGTAAGGTGGCCAGCCATATTACCCATGAAGTCGAGGCGGGAGAGACCCTGCCTCCATACATAAGGTGGAGAGTACTGAAGAAGGTACATGGTGTCGGACCCTGCAACTGAGGGAAACACCTGATTTTCACCTTGGCCTCCGCAAGCACACACACATGTACCCCCCCCACACAAACCAACATGCACACATACATATTTAAAGAAATATCCAGCCTGATAGAGTGGTGAGTGCCTGTAATCTCAGCACTTAGGAGGTGGAGGCCGGAGGATCAGGATTTCAAGGCCAGGCTGGGCTCCACAAGACCAAACCCCAATCCAATCAGTTGGTGATCAGCTCGTCTTGAATATTTAGGAGCTGCTGGGGCATTTATTAATTACTCAAGCTGCTCACTCCCGCCCTTCCTCTGTTCCTTGCTCTACTATTTATTTGTCTTCTTCCAGGGACACAACACCTTCATTAAATCCCATCCGTCCTTGCCTCAGAGATGTCCCCTGGAAGCTGTCCCCTTCCCAGCTGCATCTCCATTTATCATTGCCCTTTGTTTGTGCTCTGTCATCCAGGTTTCAATTTATTTTGAATTCAGCTTATGATTAAAATTTAATGAGATCCAATCAAGTGCTTTTTTTTCAAATCAAGATGCCTCTGCAGTCTGGGCGCACCCTCCATTGTAGTGGCGTGAGGGAA